GGGTGATTACCCTCGAAGGAGGGAGGGACACAAGGAGACTTTTGGTGCTACTAATGTTCTGTCTCTTAATTTGGATGCCAGTTATATGTGGGTATTTCTAGTTAAAATTTATCATCTAGTACTTATGAGGTACATATTTTCTTTACAGTATATATATACATATATATATATTTCTTTTTTGGTCTTTTCGAGACAGGGTCTTGCTACGCAGTTCTCAAACTGGTCTCGAACTTACAACGATCCTCTTGCCTCAGCCTCCCAAATGCTAGGATTACAGGCATGCGCCACCACACCCAGCTATGTATATTATACTTCAATAAAAAATAAAAGTGGTTCAGAAAAAAAAATTTGACTTAAAGTGTGCTCTATCTTGATGTTATGGTTGATACAGTGTGTCAACTTGAGGAGTCTAGAGGCTTGGCTAAGTGACTCAGCAGTTCTGCATCTTGGAGTGGAAAGGACACGCCCTTACTGCTCTGGGATGTTGTTCACTGTGTCAATTTGAGAAGTTTAGAAGGTTAACCGTGACTCAGCAGGGAGCCAGGGTTCTCACTTCATATTCATCTTGAGCCTGTGCCAGAGGAGGGCATGGAGATGGTGTGGGTATGTTGGACCACCTCCACTCCCCCAGGGTGGGTAGGTTGCATACAATAAAAGGGAACTGAGAAAGGACTGGCTGCTGGTTCTTCGAAGATGCTCCAGTCTTCGCCTTCAGCTTGGTCATCTCCTGGCTTCTGGTGTAGACTGTTCAGCTTCTGCCTGGGACTCTTCAGCCTTCTGGTGTAGACTGTTCGGCCTTTGTCATAGATTCTTCAGCATTTCCTTGCAGACCCATCAGCCTCCTGATACGGACTTGCATGGACACTGCAGTGAGCTCCAGGCCTTGGACTAGGTGGAAGCCTCTTTAACCTCAGAACTCTTGCATTCTCCATGCACCTAAAACCAGGGCCACGTGTATGATGCCAAGGTCTGCTGCCACCTAGAGCAGTAGCCAAGCTTTCTTCTCTCTTGGCTATAGGGGTCCAGTGCCTGGATCACTGGGCACTCTGAACCTGATTCTGAGGAGAAATTCTCTATGTTGCCACAATTCTAGAACCTGGTGCCGCCGCTGCCTGCATTCCGGAATATAGTTTGGCTTCCACCATTCTGGAACATGGCGCTCTGCAGCTTTCTTCTCAAAGCAAGTCTTTCACCTTTGCAGTTTTGGGGCTGCAAAGGGTGGAGACTTGCTGCTTCTTGTGATGCCCTCAGGCCATCTTTTCGATTCTCCTGTTCCTTCTCAGCAGTGGAGATCTCCCCCGCCTTATCTTTGCAGTCCACAGCATTACTGGAGCTTCCTTTCTGGCCAAGCTCACAACATTTTAAATCATCCTGCTGGGCTCTTTGCTCTTGATTCTCAGCATATATTTGGCTGAAAGCTCCCAACAATAGCCATGCC